CCTTACCTCTACCCAAGGTCTTTCAGGAAGTGGCACTTCAGAAGGTATGTCTGTTCCTTCGAAAGGCGAATAGTCAACTTGTGAAGTGTCTCCTAAAAGTATCAAGTGAATACTATTTGAAAAATGTTTTCGATAAATTACCTTCGTCAATTGCGTCTACAAGATCAAGGTAATGATTCAGTAGTAAGAACGCCAACGGTGCATAATCTCCGCCAGCATCCTAGAAAACTCATTGTTTTCTGAGTGGTGCAATTCTACAGAAAGGTTCAACCAGTAAAATTACTTGTAGTTGTCATACCTTGGCAGCGATACCGGCTTGAAAAAAGATTCTGTCGGCAGGGATGAGGTCAGAATATCTCAGAAGAGAAATGGACTGTTGTAGACGAAGATGCTGCGAATCCTCTGTCTGGATTTCCTAGAACTTCAACTCTTTTTGCAAAAGTCTTTTATAGTAGTCATAGTTACCTCCATTGCACTTCGTATAGCCATCAGATGCAAAGCATGAACATACCTTTCAAAAATCTGAAACAAGATAAAAACTATAAGCAGCTCAAAGAATGATGATTAAGAATGCAGTCGTGGAATCTTAACCAATAGAAAAGAAAAGCTCTCCATTTTCATTTTCAACTTTCATAATCATAGAAAAACGCAACATCGCAATGCGCTATTTGCCCAATCAGCATGGTATCGCCCCATACAACTTTTTAAAAAAAAACCAAACCTCGCATGAAAAAATAGTGTGAGGATCCATTAGTTTGTAGTTAGCGATTCACGAACCTTCTGGTATGTCTTAGCAAGGCCGTTTCTGCCCTTTCCCTCTCCTTCATCCTATCACTTTTTTAAATTATAATACTATTCGCTTTCATTTAAGCTCTATACTGCCAATTGCAAGGGTGGACAGGAGACTTCCTGCTTGTCTATTTCCTGATATCCCTCTTACATAATCATCTCCAAACCTCATATAAATATCTAACTTCTATATAGGCTATAATTCCTGTTCTATGGCTT